AAGGAATGGATGCACACTTTCAAAACACCCTCCTTCTGTGAGTGAAATCTGCTTTCGATGCCGCGGAAAGAGCAAGCAAAAAGTGCATCACTGCATGATCGATGGTCAAAATAAGTGGGATCTTGCAGTGAGGTCACAGTGCAATATCGAGCTAAGGCAGGCACGCTGGCAGGCCAGGGCACTGGTACCCTTGCCACTCTCTCACTGGCGCGCACCCTGCGTAAAAGTGGACGAACGCACCTGCACAACGCGTACAAATTGGCACGAGCAGTTGGCAGCATGTAGCACTCAGTGAGATGCCCCAGTGTGACTAGTAAACAATCCCCGCCGGCCAGGGCTGCAGATGAATCCTATTACATAAGTTCCCTGTCGCTGGCACTTCAGTTTCTTGTGCGCCCACTCACTGCCTGTACAACCTTCGTACGATACGTCCTCCATCGACCTTGACAATTCTCCATATCCAACCCTTGGCACTTCCCCTCAGTCTCGGATTTCCGATCCATTCTCATCCCATCCCTTACAGCGCTCTGGTATTCCTCAGCGAGTTCCAAACGGCGATCACTTGTCCATTGTTGCCGATTTAGCATTTAAACTCCCTCCATTGTTTGCGTCAGCGCCCGCGTGCCCCACCCCTAGGTAGCGACCGCAAACCCTCCCCGCCGCCCATACCAAATACCGACGGGAATTACATACAGTACGACGGCCTGTGATACCGCGCGGAACCCGTCTCCAACCACGCCACGCACTCATCAACACTCCGGAACACTGGGAGTGAAGCCTCACCAACTCACCGACAAACCGAGGCTGCCTGTGCTGGTCAAGTGTGTGCGCGCAGCACCTGCGCAGTTGCCCCGATCGGCCTCTTGGCCGCAAGAGTGCAACTTCCCAAAGTTGGCGACATGCACATTGCAAGCCGCTAGATGCAGGAAGGAGCTTTGGACTGGAACTAGGCACCCCCGCAACTGAAACGGAGGTGAAAGGAGGAGAACAGAATTTGGAGCAACATTGGAGGAAGGAGCGAAAAAACATCGGGAGCACTTTCTGCCTCGAAGATGCCAGACTTGGTCTGGGAATGAACCGGTCTCGCCTCTCAACATCTGACGTGTTCCTGTGACAATTCCCGTCGGCTCGCTCACATTCTCCCCATCTCGGGTTTACTGCCTTCTCTCAACTTCTCGATTTATGCAACTACCTGACCATCCAACGGCTCTCTTACTTCACGACATCACGCCGCCTTTTCATTAGGTTATCGGAGTCTGGAGTTCCAGGTTGATCACTCAGCCTTCCCTTTTACGACTGTCCTCCAAACGGGCTCCTATCACCTCCCACAAACAACAAAGACAGACAGACATTGACTGCTGTCCAAGATATGTCATATCCGAATGGGAGTGGGGGTACGCTTACCCTACCCTCGCCGACACACATCCATTCCGTTCGATCTTTACGAAAGGCCATTGCACGATCGCCCTCCAGGGCTCGCCAAGCTTCGACTACACCAGCCGGTTCACCACAGTCCCTCTCCTCGCTCGCCGTTTCACTCTCGCAACGACCTTTGGGTGAAGGTTCTACTCCGCTCAAGCCTAGCGAGCGTCTCTCGACCCGTTCATTGAGACCTGCTAGACCGGTCAACAGGCCGTTATCCAGGTCACGAATGTCGCAAAAGAGTCCCCTCAGAAGGTGCTTTGGCTCCCACAGGGACTCGGGCAACCCCCTCCCACCATCCGTCTCGGCTCCTGAAGCCCGTCCCCGCTGCGGAAGCCCTTCCTCGCGCAGCCCTAGCCCGATAGCAAGCCCCGTGGCAAGCCCTGTCCACCATACCGAGGTGACACTGATCATGGATCACGCTACTCTGGAAAGCCCGCTCCCTAAGCGGCGCAGTCTGGGTCTCAGGGCTGACCTCCTCGATGACCCTCCAGCGACATCGCACCCATTCGACCCCGATGACGATGCGCCCAAAGGATACGAACTGCGGTCGTCCACTCGCCGTACCACCCCGCCTCAGGATTCCGTGGCCTCGCCTGATATTTCGAGCCTACCCAAACGAACGACCTCTCTCCGTAAAAGTACTTTACAGCAACGCCATGATGATCAACGCATCTCGTTGGGTCGGCGTGTTGGAGAGAAACAGCTTAACCAGGCATCAAAAGCTGCTGCCCCTGCTACTAGCACAACCCGGACCAGGCCGAGGCTATCCCTCGATCAATATCTCCCGCCTGATGACCGTGGCAGCCCCTTTACTCAGGCGCCTTTGCCAAGCGCCTCGGTTCATCCACTTCCTCGGCCGCCAGCCCAGCGTCACCCCTTGTCTCGGACCATCACACAGTCCTCATCCGGCTCTAGCCTCCCCGATGAGTCGCCCACGCATCCTCCTGTGAGCTTGGGCGAAAAGCCCAGGGTACCTTTGAACTTCTCAAGATCACTGCCTTTGGGAGCTCGCCCCCTAGGTGCAAAGATTCCACCGCCCGTGGCTACACCAAAATACAAGCGAGCCAAGCCATTTCAGGCTGCCTTTATGTCAACGGGACTGGTGTCCAAGATGAACCGAAACCCCGAGGCCGGCCCGCCCAAGCGTCCTGGAGATAATTCCGAGATTATGCCCGACACTCCTTGCAAGAAGCAGCCTTATGACTCTTCAACGTTTCCCCCAAAACCGCTGGGAAGTGCCAGACGCCCCAGATTGTCTTTTGGCACTGCAACTACCCCTCTTCCTAATGCTTCGAGCACGCCGCGCGGCAGCCCATTTGCTCCCCAGGACCGATCCGCAAGTCTGTTCTTCAAGCAAATTCGTGGAAACAACCTTCGAAGAGCAAGTCTGTTGAGTTTCGAGGGCGAGGATGCAGGAGACTCACCTGAGTCCGATGATTTTCCCCCGCCAACACCGACTAAGAGTCTTTTCAAGTCACAATCAACGCCAGCACACCCGCAACAGGCACAAATGACGCCCACTGCCACACGGTTCACACATTCTGCGTCTGCTTTCGGTATTGGCAAGGAGCACAGCACGCCGAGTTCAAGCTTCGGATTTACAAGTCCACTAGGTCGACACAGCAACGGGCAGACAGATCGTCCCACCACGGCCGACGGTGAACCTCTCCCAGTCGGCATCAAAGACTCATCGCGGATGAGCCAGTCTCTCCCCTCCTTTACCATGCGCCGCGGACGTGGCAACTCCTTCACCACTCCTGCCCCTGTCAAGACCAACCCCACCATAGTGGAAGCCTCAGAAAAGCATACACCTGATTCAGCCAGCCCAGTGAATCCAAGGAATCCTAAGACACCTTCGGAAACTATGGGCCCGCCTGACGGAAATTTCTTGTCCATCTCAAATGCTCGCAAAGGCAATATCAAGTTTGCTCGGTCGCCGTCGACACCTACAACACTCGTCGGCCCAGGACTTCCGTCAGCAACACCTGAAGGCCAGCCACTTACCAAGGGGCAGAACCGTCGAATCAGTTCTACGCCCCAAAACGTGAATGCTCCTAGCAATGTCGATGAAGCACTGTATAGTCGCTTCGACAAAGCTGAGGTGATTGGGGGTGGTGCCTTTTCGCAAGTGTATCGTGTTGTTCAACGCTCCACAATGGCTTCCTTTTCGTCATTTACATCAACTCCCAGCAGACATACGCCCGAGGTAGAGAAGGTCTTTGCCGTCAAGAAAATCGCTTTTTCTGGCCATGGTGAGAAGCAACGCGAAAGCAAGATGCGCGAGGTCAACGCCTTGAAGGCCCTGAGTACTTCCGACAAGATCGTGCACTATGTCGACAGCTGGGAGCAAAACGGATGTCTATACATCCAGACTGAGTATTGCACCGAAGGCAGTCTTGACGCATTTCTCAGAGAAGTTGGGCAAAACGGCAGGATGGATGATTTCCGCATCTGGAAGACATTGCTTGAACTAAGCCAGGTAGGCTAACTTAGTTTCGAATCTCCCACAATGGCTTGCTAACTGATTAACTTGCAGGGTCTTTCCGCCATTCACAGCGCTGGCTTCATTCACCTGGATCTGAAACCTGCCAATATCTTCATCGGGTTCGATGGCTATCTCAAGATCGGCGACTTTGGATTCGCAGTCCCATGGCCGGCCCCCAAAGGGGTCGAAGGCGAAGGTGACCGAGAGTACATTGGTCCTGAGATCTTGTTGGGACAGTACGGCAAGCCAGCCGATATCTTTGCTCTTGGACTTATCATCTTGGAGATTGCTTGCAATGTCTATCTTCCCGACAACGGTCCCACATGGCAGGCCCTTCGAAATGGCGATCTGACGGTTGTGCCTAGTCTTACCTCGAGTGATGCTGGTGGTATCATTCGGGACGCACAGATTTCTGCCGATGATGGCGATCTTTCTGCCTTCAGCTCAGTCACATATGACCCGAGCAACTTGTTTGGTGCGCAAAAGAGAAGCGAGCTCCAGGAACCCCCAAGGTTCATGATGGATGCCAATGATCCGCACTCGCTAGACAGCGTTGTCCGGTGGATGATCCAGCCTGAGCCTGCGAATCGACCTACGGCCGAGGCTCTACTGAAGGTAGAGTCCGTCGACTGGGTTGCTTGCCGCAGGACCGCCGGAGCAACGGTGTACGAAGGCAACTGGGGCTTGGAGACCGCTTCGACCACGGAACAGTTCGACACGACGATGACTGACGTTTGAACAAGCATCTTGGAAAATTCATCACCTTGCATCCCGGGTGGATATCGTCTTGCCGGAGAGGGGTCGGTTGTCTTGCACCGACCCTTCACCAGAAGTATATATGTGCCTAGGTTTTGTCGGTCGGATATGTTGGCTGGATATCCACCACGGATAGGATTTCGAATCATTTGGGGCCCATTGTATGAGCTCTGGGATATCATATCCTTTGTATGGGATTGCTACATTGCGACAAAGTTCCTTTCCGATCTGAACACCATTCGATAACCGTTTGGAACAGCGGTCGGTTGTCTTTCGATTGGTCACAGAGTTTAGTGGCATAGTCCGCTTTGGGCTGTGGAATCAAGGTTACTCCGACCATTTCTCTATTCTCTCCCTCAACATTTCCTACTATTTTACGTTATGAGCATTCAACTGGAATGCTAAGCGACCACTTTTAGAAGCCTTGGCCATCTGCTCGCTTAGCTGTATCGGCAAAGCCAGTGGCAAGACTGCAACTTAATTTCGCATGGGACAAACTAGGATCAGTCATATTTTCAGCATTTTTCTGCTACGGCCGGTTTCATTGTTATGGGTACCACAACTGGATCTTTTCTTATGCATACATCGGCGTTTGTGGCAAAGGCAGGCGATGCATTACTATAAGGGAAATGGGATGTGGAGACACCACAAGTTCCTGGCGTTTTGCGCTTCCCGTCATAACTACTGTTTGCTTTACTTTGGGAGAAGAGCATATTGTCTTGTATGTCATTACGCGTGTAGACGTACGTGTGTATGGACTAAAACTGTGAGATGTAGCATTGTCTATCTATCTTTTGAGGGAAGGAAAGGACAGTTGAATGACTGTACTTGAAAGAAGCGGTGGGTGGTTTACACTCATCGGATGGAAGATTGGTTGGTTGCTCTCTCCTTGTTGGCGTGGTAACGATGGGACAGGCGTATCACAAAATAGGGACAGTTACATCATGATGTTATGAAGGAATGATACGACACTAGATAGGTGGAGGCAAATACGATTGCTGATAATGCCAGTTTTTGGTTTCATCACTTGGGGTTCTATTTCGCTTGAACCGAAAGAAAATATGACATTATGCCATCCACAATACGTAACAAGCGTACAAGATGATATACCCAACGCCTCCACTCCGGCTCTAATCAAGCCCTTTTTACACAAAGTTCATAAGCGACCCAAACAAATCCCAACCGTGTAATCTTCCCCGGTCCTTCACAAAAAGCATGATTTCATATCCCTCCACTTACTTCAAAAAGTCATCAGAGTCTCTCAAGCAGCAGCGCTCACACCCCTCCTAGCACCGCCCCTCCTCCCCTGAGAGGTGCCGCTCCCAGAGCCATTATTACCAGTACCAGGCCTGTTAAGCGTATACTTGGCAAAAGCCCTGGCAAGCGCCTTCTTGCAGCTGACCTTTTGCGAGCCAACAAAGGACTCGACGGTCACGGCGATAGCGCGGTCAATGTCCTGGGCGGAGCAGTACTCGGAAAGGCGCATGCGGCAAAAGGCTTCGGAGATGCGGATGATGGCTTCCAAGTGACGGACCTAGTAGAGATGAGGAGGTTAGTATGTGTTGTTGAGTTGGGTTGGGTTGGGTGATGACGGGAAAAAAAAAAAAAGAGAAAGAAACCTACGGTAATAGGATAAGCCCCCGTCGCCAAACTCTCCCTTCTCATATCCGCAAACAGCCTCGCCACCTTATCCTCATCCATGTGATACAGCTTTGGCTGGCACCGCTCTCGGGCATAAAGGATATACTTCCTCAACAGCTCTTGTGGGATTTCGCCTTCCTTTTTACGGCCGTGTTCACCAGTTTGCTGCTGCTGTGTCTCAGCAGCAGCAGCTTGGGTGTCGTGTTCCACTTGCATTGAATCACCACCGCTAGCGTCCTGCGTGTTGTTCATCAACGGATGACTCCTGCTATGCGACCCGACAATGAAGCGCGCCAGCCGCTCATCTTCTTCGGGCTCGACTGTGTCGCGCACGACGCAAAGGATGTCGAAACGAGACAAAATCGGCTCGGTAAGCTCCACGTTGGCAGAAAAGGGAATGGTGGAGTTGTACCGCCCGCCAATAGGGTTAGCAGCGGCGATGATTCCGCATCTGGCCTGTAGGGTCGTGACGATACCGGCTTTGGAGATGGAGATGGTCTGCTGCTCCATGGCTTCGTGGATGGACGTGCGGTCCTGGTCGTTCATCTTGTCGAACTCGTCGATCAGGCAGGTGCCCTTGTCGGCGAGGACGAGGGCGCCGCCCTCGAGAGTCCATTCGGACGTGAGCGGGTCGCGCCGGACGGAGGCCGTTAGACCGACGGCGGAAGCACCCTGGCCGGTGGCGAAGACGGCGCGGTGGGCCGTCTTTTCGGCGTATTTGAGTACTTGTGATTTGGCGGTACCGGGGTCGCCGAGGAGAAGGACGTTGATGTCGCCACGAATGTGGTGGGCGCCGACTTGCTTGGCGACGCCGCCGAAGAGGGAGAGGGCGACGGCGGTCTTGATGTCGGTGTGTCCGTAGATGGAAGGGGCGACGGAGTTGATGATCTTGTCGACGATATGCGGGTCGCGCGAGAGGCGGCGGATCTCATGCTCGTCTTCCTCGGTCATGCGGAAGCCGGCGAGCTGGTCATGGGATTTGACAATGTTGTTGGCTTCAAGGATGGTGGCGAAGACGGGGAAGCCGTTGCGGTTGTTGAGCTGCGCGTCGTAGTTGTTGCGGTAGATGCCCGTTACTTCGATCTCCTCGCCCGGCTTGGCCTTGTCGATCAGGTCCCAGAGGAGAATGACCTCGCGGTGACGGGGCAGACGACCGGCGGGAACGGTGCCGGGGGATTCTTGAAGGGTGAGCTTTTGGTAGTTGCGGTAGACGGTCTTCTCGGAGTTAAGGGTGAAGGGGCCACGAGACTGGCAGGATTGGCAGTAGGAGATCTTGACTTCGACGTTGGACTCTTGCTGGAAGGGACCGAGAGTGACGCCGCACTTGGTGCAGTCGAACTTGACGTACTTGAGCTGGGGGAAGACACCGGTACGGCGGGTGACGACACCGCTCACGCGCACAAGACAGTTGAGGTGCGACTGGCGGAGCTGACGGAGCGTGTAGTGGATGGGAAGATCGAAGATACGGACGTGAATCTCGGCGTGAATGCGCTCGTAGTCGGGGTAATGGAGGAGGACGACTTCCATGGCAACCTCGTCGAATAGCTTGAGCATCTCGGTTGGCGCATTGGCGAGGAAGTATGCAAGAATGGCCTTGGCCGTAGCGAGGTGTTCGTAGGAGACCTCGAGAGACTCGGCGTTGATCTCACCGAGAGTACGAATGCGGTTGCCGTAGACGGACGAACCGCTCTCGTCGGTGTATTCTGTGAGGAAAGCCTTGAACTCTCTGCGGATGGTCTTTTGTACAGCCGGGACTGAGATCCATTCGCTCAAAGTGGCAGCCTTGACATCCATCAGGGCTTCGAGAGGAAGTTCCGAGTCCATAATGTCGCCATCCATATCGACATCGGGGTCTTCATTGTAGCGGATTCTTCGGCGTCGTTCCAGGTTGGCAAGGTCGATATCACCATCGTCGTCGTCACCAGGAAGATATGTGGTGCCCATTCCCATCCTCACGTGACGGTCTCTCTGGGCCAACTTGGCTTCAAGACGGCGCCTTGCGGCGGGGTCGAGGGCCTCATACTCCTCATCGTCGATGTCAATTCCTTCGTAGGCGTCGTTTTCGTCTCTTTCCCTATAATCACGCTCGAAACCTTCGCGGAACAAGTCTACATCGTCTTCGGCCAACTCGTCGAGGTCGTCAATGTCGTCTTGGATTTCAGCGGCGACGTCTTCCTCGATGTCGTCGTCCTCATCTGCGCCATGGGCAACCGGGAAGGCGGGAGGAGAAGAGGGCATGACGGGGCTCGAAGCCCGGGGAAGCGAGGATGCACCATCGTTATCGTTACGCGCACGCTTGCGGGTGGCCCTGGGAACGGCGCCACGGTTGGCAGAGGACGGGTTGTCGCGCAGCGGGGAACTGGTATTGGAAGAGGCTCAGTTAATCACTGTTTACTTGCGAAGAGAAGCCGTGACAGACGAAAGAGCAAGAGGCATACATACCTCATGATTGCGACTTGGTGAAGGGTATCTCAGAGGACTGTAGCCAGCTACAGATGGAAGAAACAAGAGAATGAAGGATGCTGGCCTGGTTATTGCTATGGAGAATGAATGCCAGCCAGAAAGAGGATATGTTGCGGGGTGAGACAGAGAGACAAACAGCGTCGAGGAACCACTGAATGAATGTTGCCCTTGCGATTCGCTTGCGACCTTGTCCCTGCTTTTTTTTCGCGTTGCAGTCCAGGGAAGACGCGCCAGACGTGATGCGCTAAGCCGGATAAGGGCGGTCGCGTTAAGTGGTTGCTGTGGTTTAATGGGCTTGGCAGTACGTACCGGACCCACTTGGTGCTGCTCTTACACGCCAATTCGACTTGTCGAGATTCCAAAAAAGTCACAAAAGCCCAAAGTCCAAGTGAACAACGACGAGTAGAAGAAGCAAAGTATGAGCTATAAGGTGCTACATATTTCAGGACGATGTTATTATTGATCAAATCACCTTCAATGAGATTCCCTTGAACCCAATTCCAATCTGTGCTGCTTGGACACCTGTAGTGCCTTGGACCAAAGGGTACATTGCAAGCTCGGTCCTTCTCCCCCGGGCCGCTCTCTCACGCTTTCACCAACGCGCCCCCATCCTCCTCTTCGCGCCCCAGCAATTGTTTCTTGTTTGAATACTTCCGGACAGAACCCATCTTTCGTGACCCAGCACCATCCTCAAAGCTCCTGTTTTCTCACCATTTTTGAAACTCATAGCGACTGTCGAAGGTTGACCGTGAAAGCATCACCAATGGATCCCCAACCGGCGCAACAGCCCGTCGAGGCCGCTCCAAATGGCCATGAAGCTCCAGGACCGGTCGCGCTCACCAAGACTCGTACTGAGAGCTTCTCCGCGAAGTCGGAAAACTCTCAGACTGCCGCAGAGTATGTTATCATACATTGGAGTTACCACACGATACAGTACTTACTAACCATGGTCTAGCTTCATCCGCGACCAAATGCAACTAGAGGCCGACGCGCGCGAAGCTCTTCCATACGTGCGTATCCCTTGTCTTCTCTACCCTTTTTCCTTAATGTCAATCCTAACCTCCCACCAGAGCATCGAAACCTGCACCAAGCCTCTCGGTCCCCTCCGCCAGGCCGTCTTCTCCTGTCTGACCTGCAACCCACCACCCGCCGACCCGAAAGCGCCCTACAACGCGGCCGGCATCTGCTACTCCTGCTCCGTCCAGTGTCACGGCGAGCACACCCTCGTCGAGATCTTCGCCAAGCGCAACTTTACCTGCGACTGCGGTACCACACGCTTCCCACCCACGAGCCCGTGCAACCTGCGCATCAATGAGGAGACGGGCACCAAGGGCGACGTGCACTCGGAGGAACCAGATGCCAACAACAAGTACAACCATAACTTCCGGAATCGGTTCTGCGGCTGCGAGTGCGATTATGACCCGTTTGAGCAGAAGGGGACCATGTTTCAATGTCTGGGACTAGGTACGGCAGAAACAGGCGGTTGTGGAGAGGATTGGTACCATCCTGGGTGCATCGTGGGTTTGGGTCCAGATTGGTTTGAGAAGATGGACATCAAGGATAAGCCCAAGTCTGCGGCGCTGAAGACGGCGATCAAGACCGAAAATGGGTCCTTACCTACAATCGCGGAAGACGAGACAACAGAACAGAACGGCGCCCTTGTTGAAGAGGCAGAGGAAGAAGACGAAGACGACGATCCACCTCCACCGCCTGGCTTCCCTGCCGATGACGACTTTGAGGGATTCATCTGCTACAAGTGCGTCGAGGCGTACCCCTGGATCAAGAGATATGCGGGTACTGAAGGATTCCTACCGCCTGTCTATCTGAAGAAGGAGGAGGAGCAAACCACTAGTACCACCTCGGAACTCGAAGTCAACGGCGATTCCTCATCCAAGAAGCGCAAAGCATCTGACGACGATAACGAAGACATCGAGGAATCCCAAGAAAAGAAGCCCAAAACCGATGAAACCGTCCAGTCAACGACTACCGCCATCACTACAACCGAGTCCCTCACAACCAACGGCTCTTCCACCACCACCACCACCATCAACACAACAACCCTCACCACCATAGACTCGTCCTCCTCCACCACAACCCCCCACCCCAACCCCAACCCCAAACCCTGCCTCCTCTCCTCCCTCCCCCCACCACCTTTCTCCTCCCAAAAGTCCCTCTTCTCCCTCTTCTTCACCACCCCCTCCTTCCGTTCCCTCCTCTGCCACTGCCCCCAATGCTTCCCTCTCCTCATCCCACACCCCCACCTCCTCGAAGAAGAAGACACCTACGAACCCCCCGTTTCCGAAACAACCTCCCCCTCCCATTCTCTACACGGCGGAAGCAGCAGCAAGGGGTCGGGATCGGTTCTCGAAAGAGGCGAGTCGGCTCTGCGCAACATTGATCGGGTGCGAGCCATTGAGGGCGTCATGGCGTATAACCACCTCAAAGATAAGTTGAAGCCGTTTTTCAGAGAGTTTGCAGAGAGTGGGAGGGCGGTTAGTGCGGAGGATATCAAGGCGTATTTTGCAAAGTTGAGGGGGGATGGGGAGGTTAGAAGGGGTAGTCAAGGAGAGATGCAAGAGGAAGAAGAGGAGGGGGTGAATGGTGGTGATGGGAGGAAGGAACAGGATGGGTATTGATTAAGGTTTTGATGGAGTGTTTAAGTAATATGTAATGGGCGGATTGTGGTTGATTGATCGATTGATTTATCGATTGATTGATGATACCGAAACAAGAGGGCAATGGTGTTTAGGGAGTTTTGTGGGTTTGGTTGGTTTGTCTGTCTAGTTCAGTTGACAATGTCTAAGGGGTAGTCACTTTGAGGCACAAGTCAAGTACTGTAGAACATATATGCTGGTATTGCTTGATAGCTACGACATGAGCTCGATAGAAGCCCAAAACCTCCATAAATAAGAACAAATGAAAATCCCTCCCAGACCATCAAAAAGTCTCCCATTTGCAACAAACCACAAACTCCCCAATCGGCACCAAAAACGCCCGCATGTGCTTCCTTCCCAACACCACCCACCCGCCGTTAAACTGAAAGCAAATAAATACCCCCACCTCGCTACCTTGACAACAACTCCATATTAAACACCTCACTTCTGCTGCTCAGAGGCAACCTTCTCCTTCTCCTTCTCCTTCTCCCCCTTCAACCTCATCGTCAACTCGGACGTCCCCTGCGCCCCCGTCCCCGCCGCATTCAAGCTCTTCATGTTCGCCTCACACTTATCCGCCAACACGGCATTGCCCTGGACAGGAGCCTCGACATTCTTCCTCGCCATCTCCTGGCTCTCCACAAACCGGTCCCAATGCGCCGGGTCCATCTCCCTCAGCTTGCGAACCACGTCCTCCTTGTTCTCGATAAACACTGCCACGGCCCCGCGCTCTTCCACCATCTTGGTGTACTCGTCGTCGTCGAGCTCGTCAAACATTTCGTGCAGCAGACGAGCGTGGTTCGGGTCGGCTCCAATCATTTCCACGCCGCAGTTCAACAGCATGTAATGCTCGGGCTTGACGATGCCCGTCAAGCCCGAGCGGAACTTGTGGCCGGCACGGAGGACGCGGGCTTCTTCGTCGGCCAGAGCGCGGGAGGACAGAGAAAGGGTGGAGTTGGACCGGACCAGACCACGGGGTTTGATGCCAAAGGCGGCGGCTTGCGCGGCTTCGGCGTCGTCGGCGTCGTCGCTCCAGATGGGGGCGAACGGGGCAAGGTCGATGGAGGAGATGGAAGTTCCCATGAACTTCTCGGCGTCGTCGTACGGGTAGTTGGTGAAGGAGGAGCCCGAGGAGATGAAGGAGGCCGAGTCGGCGGCAGTGGTTGAGGCAGGAAGTTCCTTGGTGTCGGGAAACTCGTCTTCGAATCGCTTGATGATGCCCTTGAGGGTGTTGTCGATGAACATGAGACGATGATAGGCGTGGGTATCTTCGTGCGAATCCCTGGCCTTTTGGATGGCAGGCTGTAACCTGGTGCGGATCTTCCTTGCGCTGAGCAGCAGGTGCTTGGAAGTCTCCTTAGCCTTGCCGACGGGGAGGTGAGGCTTAGTTTGCTCATGGCCGGCCTCGCCGTCGCCGACCGACTCGCCAGATAGAATCCTAAACTCTTCGTCGCAGTTATCCAAGCAGCATGCCAAGGCCTTGACGACACCAGTGCCACCAATAACGTAGTCCTCATCCGGCGCAATATCCAGGTCATCCTCTGGATCATAGGGCTGAGTGACATCAGCACCAACCAAGCGCTGAAGCACATCGGGGTATTCAGGCTCAGCCGGGAAGTCTGGCAGGCCGCCGGTCATAGAGGAGAAATCGCCAACAGTCGACATGTGTTCACCCATGTTGCGAAGGCAGTAGGCAACGACCTGCTTAGCCATGGCCTTGACAAGATCGCTCGACTGCTCATTAGGAACCTCGATATCCACGGCGACGAGGCTTCGTGAAACCCTCGCGGCAGAGAGTAACGACGCGAACAGCGCAAAGGCGGACTCCTTCGCCTCATCCGTGTTTGCATCCGTCAGTTCCACGATTTGTGGGTTCTCCAAGAAGCTGACATGTGCAAGGCCAGGAATCTCTGGCAGAATCTCGGCAAGGGCGATGACTTGCTCAGGGGTAAGAGCGCAGTCAACGAGGTGTATCCTCTTCAAGGACGGCATCGCGGGCAGATACTTGCGCAATACCGCAACCGCACTGACCTCGGCGTTGAAGAGCGCGTGGTTGTGGGACAGATCGATATATCGTAGCTGGGGTAACTTGACCAGCGTCGGCAACAGCTGGGACAGAGCTGCCGGTGTCAAGTTACAGTCAGCCAAGCTGAGTGCCGACAATGGACAGTTTTCTTGGTCCAACGCCTCCGTAAGCTTGTCAATATGATCCCGCAGGTCATTGCCGCCCAAATCGAGGCCATCGCAAGTCGGCGTCGCCAAAAACCTCTTGACATGAGCCAGGCCCTGATCTGTGATGTCGTTGTTTGCAAGAACAATTTTCCTGATGCCGCACTTGAGGACTCCGTCCATGACCAACCCAAGCTGCTCTGTAGTAATTCCAGTTTCACCCAAGCTCAAAAGAGTAAGCGTTGACCCCCCGAGGCGTTCTCCGAGCGATTTTGAAAACAGTTGGCAAAGATCCATAGTCTTCTTCGCATCGCTCGCTGTGCGAGTGGTCGGGCTGCTAGGCGGCGGCTGGGGGAAAGGAACCTGAGACAGATCCAGCACCTTGAGGGTGTGACATAGGTAAACGAATAGGCAGATATGCTTCCAGCCCTCGGCCCCGATCTTGTTATTTTTCAGAATGAGTCTCTCAACAACGCCACCCTGTGGTGTTAGCCCATCCGGTCCGGTCTGCTGCTTTCGTCGCTTGAACGGGTTCTTCCTGGCAGCCAACAGACCGGCGAGAATAACACGGAGACCCTCATCGCTCAAACCACAATTGTCCAAAATCACCTCCTTGATCGGGACTACGGCCAGATAATCGCCGAGTGTTACCAGATCGGGTAGCTGCAGCCAATATCCACTGAGGTCCAGCTTTTCCACCACTCCCTTCTCGGGTGCCATGTTTGCGGGGTCCATGAGCTGCTCGGTAATCCTCTTGAGGATTGGCGTCTCGCGTAGTTGACAACAGCGGCGGTATATCCTGACGGGGTTCGTAGTCGGCATCGATTGCGTCCGGCGACTGGAGGACTCGGACTGCTGCTGCTGCTGCGGCTGCAGCTGCGGCTGCGGCGGCGCGGTGCTACCGCCGTCATCGGAGGAATCGCTATCGACGTGGATTTCCATCGGAATGGTACCGTTCGCCTCGGCAAGCTTCCTCTTCTTCTCTTTCCTAGCCTTCCTCTCTTCTTCGCTCTTCTTCTTCTTTTCCTTTTTCTTCGTTTCGGCAGCGGCCTTGGCTGCTGCTGCTGCCTCTGCTTCCCTGCTGCTCTCCTCTTTCCTGTTGGTAACCATGATGGTGCCATCTGGCGCTACATGAGTGGTTACCACCTGGGGCTTTGCATTTGACTTTTTCGCTGCGTCGTCTCCGTATCGTGGCATGGGCGCAATCTCGACGTCGACGCAGAAGGCAACTCGCCGAAGTTTAGCCTGGTTTAGACCGTCAATGTCACATCGTTCCCTGTTCTGATCGACATTCAAAATCCTTCGCTCCACCAGGCCGTGATTATGCCCCTTCATTCCGTTGGTGCTCAGTGTTCCGTTCGACGACGATAGCCTTCGGAAAATGTGGAAGACGCCGCCTTGGGCGCGACCAGGCGGGGCTGGGATGTAGGGACCGTCGCCTTCGTGTTTTGTCGCGTGCTGAAGGACAGCGTTCTTAGCAGGATTGACCTTGGGCACGGAGAATTCGGCGTTCTTGGGAGATGCAGGATTTGGTGATGGCGGACTTTGCGCGGCGCCGTTTGCGGACGAGAGCTTGGAGGCGATGTTGGAGAACCACGAATTCCTTCTCTGTGGGGAAACGCCGATTGGCGGCGTCCTTCCTTCGTCCGACCCAGTTCTCGTGAATCCCGGTGCGGCGGGCGATAGTCCTCCTATTGGGATCGGTTTCGCAGTTGTGGTGGATGTTGTTGTGGTGGAGGATGTCATGTTTTGGGTGCTCGATGGCGCATTGAGCATGTCTGTCCTGAAGCCATTGGTTGCTGCTGGCGCCGACGCTGGGGCAAATTCTGGAGTCGCAGTGCCGGGAGAAGCAGAATAGGGAATGTCGAGCGTATTTTGGGATAATGTCTTGACGAGAGAAGCTCTCCTGCCGATCTTGTCTGGTAGAGGGGAAGTTTGTGTCAGTTACGGCTTGTTACCAAGGTTCGCGACAAAGGGCCCGAGTTGTTGTAAGCAGGAGGATGTGACGATGCTTGTTGGTTGATGTTTCCGCGTGGGCCGGGGCATGGAACCCAACCGTGTCGTTCAAGTCAAATAATATACGTGAATAAAATATAGAAGAGCAAACCTTTGGGATTCCCGTGTGTCATCCAACTGACGTCTACACCGTGGATGTGCTCCATCTTGGGGAAGGGCTCGGGGCCGACCGTCGACATGTCGTGGGCGAAGTGTGAAAGGGAATTAGGTAGACAAAAGTATAGAGAAAAAAAAATTAAGGGCCAAGGTCAACTTGAGATATTGGAGAAACAGGTGGTTTGGGGGACTCGCCCCGAGAAAGATAAATGTAGAAGAAAGAAGGAAGGCCTTGGGACCTGTAACAGGGAAGCGGCGTGGTCAGGCCGTGTCTTGGAAGCCTTGGTGCTTGGTCGAGGATGGTCTCGAGGCTTGATTCCCGTTGCTGCGGTACTAACGTAGCGTCGTAGTACACAGTAAACGTGGGGTGGGTGTGTCTCCGAACGGGAGGGTCCTTGTCCTCTTTTTTTTTTTTTTTTTTTTTTTTTTTTTTTTTTTTTTTTTTTTCTTCCTCGCAATGGCGCTTGTCTCGTCTTGTCTCGTCTCGCTTGGGCTGATCACTGATGCGTCGATGGGTTTTTTGCCCGCTCGTTCAGCTGCTGCACGGGTATAACGGGCTGGTCCAGTGAGTGGTGAGTGGTGGGCGGTGGTCGATCTTTAGGTTGGTCCGGGTTAGGTAGGCCCGCCGCCTGCGTGTGGTGGTTCAGGTTGTATGCCGTGTGGATGTGGATGTCTGGGCCCGATGTACCTTGGCACACTCGAGGCACAGTATATGATGTAGAGGCAAGCAGTGTACCTAAGTGACTTTATGGTAGTTGTGCCGCTGAGGCGATGGTCAAGCTCTCGCTTTTCTAATAGAGGAGGAAGCTATTCCACGAAGAAGAAGAAGAAGAGAGAACAATGGAAAGAAAGAAGCCATGGTGTCGGCACAGATCGGATGGAAACTGCCTGGCATGGAGTCTCTCTTGAGAGGAACAGCCCGAGACGGCACGGCAGAGAGATGGACATGAGGACCTTTCTCAGGGTAGCAATTCCCCATCAACTAAAAAGAAGACAAGGTTTCGCCGCTAAAGCACCTGCCCAGTGCCCACAGCAGCAGCAGCAGCAGTGTCTCTCCACACGTCCAGCCGTAGGTATGTAGTGTACATGGAGCCCGTAGGTACCTCTACACGGCGATGCCCACTGGCCCACCCCGGCATAGGTTGCCCACGGACCAAGTCGTCGTTCGATGCGGAGACCGTTTTTGACGCTTCAGATGGGGCTACGGGGCAATGTTACAGAACATGGCTTTTCAACCATGATGTAAGTATTCGGAACTCGGTAAGCTGTCCACCAGATAGTGTAGTTCCTGGCTTTTGGCTTTCAGCACGGCCCCTCACTGGCCAACGGGGGGATGGAATGGGGGAGAACCACAGTAGGTCAGGTTGGTGTCTGTCTGCACATGAGAGCCTACAGTAACACCAAAGAATGCACTGATCACATCAGATGCAAGAAGCAGTGTTACTGTCGACGACCATCATCTGGACGAGCACAAGTACAATCGAGAAACCGAACAATGGAATCGATGGCGAAAGCGTGGTCACCTTCTGTTCTCGGATCAGCCAAGCCGTGGTACTGTATACCTCCTCCGTGGTCAGGAAATCCCACATGCCGTTGGGAAAACATTTATTACATACATACATACATACATGAAACCCTTGGAAAAGCGCGCAACATCCGCAAAGAGGAAATGCTGCCAGCGAATGGCGGTTGACTGCTTGCATGAAGGACCTAGAAAAAGGGGAAAGCGGCGCATCACAAAAGAAGCTCCTCCTCCTCAAGTCACCAGAGGCGCCACCTTGCGAACCAAAAATCCCCACCACGACCGACATGAACATTGATCTCATATGGACTGTTGAAAAGCCGCGATGGAGACTGGCTCGGATATGCCTGGGGCTGGCGCAATGCTGGCGGCCACTGAAATGTCGCTTGCCAAGCCGTTTGCCGGTGGATAAAGCCTTGCAGTCCTGTTCAATAATTCTCGCATTGGATGTGTCAGTGTCCGGATGCCGACGGGTTGGCACTCTCCCACCCAATTTGGCCTTAGGTACCTTATCACTTCCTTCCAGTTGGTTTCTCGATATATCCAGCCATCCCCCGCTAGAAAGCCCAAAGAACTTTGGACACAAGTTCAGCACATGCATACCTCTACCACAAAGAACACACACACACACACACACACACACACCGCTGCAGAATTGAAAAAGTAAAGAGAGTGTTTATAGTGTACATAGTGCATGTCACACGTCAGCAGAGTGTGGCCGCGGTCCATCTTCAAGTTAGTGTACTAGGTTGTGCGAGGTCCGCTATGCAGTCCCTGCGCCCCGTCGGCGACTTGATCAGCAGCCGCACCGGCGCCGCCAGCGTCACAAATTGGATACCTCCAACCCTTGAAATGGATATCAAAAAGATTAAAATGATGGAGCAACGGGGAACCGCTAGACACGACAACAGCCAGACAGACGGCAACAAGTGTCGCTGATAGTGTACATGGCAAAATCCATAGTATCGATCCAAGTTCCAGCAACATTGCGACTTTTCGCTTTCCTCGTTTTCGCTCTCGCTGATCGCGACTGATACTACCTTTTCTCGCGGGTTGACGTCGGGCATGGAACCGCCAACGTGCTTGGCCGACCGACCAGTTTGCAAGGCCACTGAATCTGCTTTGGTCTTGGCATCAACTCACTTCTCTTCCACTCTGCCCGTCATTGATTCGAAATACACTTTTCCACCGGAGCCGTCTCACGGACCACCCTTCGCGAGCCCTCGCCCCTATCATCGGAGACGCCTCCAAGATGGGAATGGGCGCATGGAGACGCAGAGAGATCAACCACTCTCACTTCTTTCTCCAGTTCGTTGGCTTTTTCATCACCCCAAAAACCATAACTTCGGGTAGCACCACGGCACCACCCATCTCCAGGACCAATTAGTTTAGATTACACTGCACAAAAAGTTGTGCACCAGCACCGAGAGAAAGGACACCACCAAAGATGAGCCAAGGAACGAACGTCTTGCCGAGTACGGAGTTCTGTTTCTTCCTTTTTGTGGAAACTGCCACATCTCAATCGTGTCCATCCATCTCGTGAGACCGAAATCCTTTGCTGTGTTTCTGTAACCGAACCGAACTGAACCGATGCCATGTCCTTGTCTTGCCCTATCACGCGAGCTTGATGTCGACATTTGTCTACAGTGCTACAGTGCCATACACCACCACCATGCCAGTAATTTTAGGGAGAACAATGGATGGGAGCGAGTGGGAGCATGACGGGTTCATCACAACTTCTCCAAGCACTTGCTTGTCTCCTGGCTCTCCCGGCCCGGCATCACACAAGATCCCATCTACATTGTAGTAGTGTAGGGAACCGATTTTAGGGGTCCTTCTCTTATCTTCTTATACCCTGGGGAATTGAGATGTTGACGGGCGAAACCTCCGGCTCGGCCCAATCTCTGCGACATCACCAAAACCAAAAATAAAATAAAAAATAAGATGAACGACGACGGCCCGTCACCTTTCTCCTACGAAAGCACAAAGTTCCCCCTGGTAAGATGAGCAGTGACTTCATCAAATCTCTGACATGATATGCTCGTCTGTACACTACTTCTCGTCTGTAGTTTCTTCATCGTGGTGGTTCCTGGATTGGCAAACACCTCTCCCACTTTCCCAGATGCTGCAATACCCTCGGGGAGTTTAACAGGCATCTCTCAGGGGCAACTTATCAAGGTCCAGACACGCCTGAAAAGATCGATGCCAAGGACAAGAAACAAATAGCTGGAATTTTGCAAACCCACCAACACTCCGAAATCGCAAGCATGAACCACGTGAATATCTAACAGCAGCAGCAACAACAACATTCTCCCTCCTTCCCAGCTAGTGTACCCGTCAATGGCGACATGGGCAATCTTCGAGGTCTAGACCCGGCCCTACATTCTCTGGAAGCCAGACACACTTCAGACATCTGATTTACACTACACTAGTATAGTTCGTCATTGTCTTTTCCTCGAACAATTCGAGCACACATCGGAGACACATGTCCGATTAGGGGGGGGCAAAATATCAAATTTCAACTCTTTCTTCTTGGCCATACCGCTAGGACTTGGGGATCGTACCGAGATGCGCTTCGTCCCGCCACTAAAGTCTAGCATTCACAACATTTACCGATGATTTCCTTCTGTCTAAAATACGTCGGTAGTAGTGTATGTATGATCTCATGACGCATCGTTAACGCTACGCTACGCTACATTGTAGTACCATCGCATGAGTTCTCGAATCTCGAATTGAGCAGACTCACTTTCCATCCATCCATCTATCCATCCATCCATCCATAGTTTACAGGCACGAAACATTGAACCTTTATGAAATCCAGCCCCCGCAGCCAAGCCAGCACAGGGCACATATGTACACACTTATCAAGTTCGTTGTATACTCCGATAGACGACACCGTTTGGAGACATTCATTATAATTAACTCCGGCCCTTTACATTTTGTGAGATTTTCGCAAACGCTGCCCAGCAAACTAACTAGCTGGCTAGTTTTTGGTTTCTTCACTACCAAGTGTAAGCGCTTGACCGAGAGACAGACAGATAGATAGATGATTTATCAGCCAGAACTCCGGAATATTCCTAATAATGTGAAGACGCTACTACTGAACTGAATATAAACCATCATCGGTTGTCATCAGATCAGATCTTCAACACTATTGTTGTCTAGTGATTAGTAGAGTGACTGTCTCATCTCATCTCATCATTTCAGGTCAGCGGCGGCCTGCCATCCATCCTTGATCATTCATGAGACGTTTGGGAAATGAAAACAGAAAGAAACCGACCTTGTCAAGCGGTTAAACTATACACTTTTTCTTGTGTAACCTTCTACCGTTGTTCCCTCATGCTTTCACATTGCTCGTCTATCTCCAAATCCAGGTGAGAACACCATATGATCTCTTCATGTTAATTGAAGTTTAGGTAGGTAAATACCTCTTTTAACGCAGGCATCAATAAAGCAGGGTTAAAGGTGTAAAGAAGAAGCATGAAAGAAGCATGTGTGCATGGTTGATCAACGCCCTTACTTACTTACCTGGTTTTCAATTCCGAGATCAAGATCATACACTACACCACGGGCAACCACAACCTCAACCACACCACATGACCAGCTGACCGTTTTAAAGTTTCAAGGTTCACCCAGTAACAGACAACCCGCAAGGTGATCGTTCACCTTTGTCACATCACTGGTCGGTCACCTTCACCACACTACACACCTTGATCACACCTTCACCAATTCTTCAACGGGCACGAGAAGGCATTCAAGGCAGGGAATTCCCCGTCATCGCTGAGATTACCCTTAACTTTGTCTGCCCATCTGTCTGTAGTGTATGTCTACCTACCCTCCTGTTCGAGCTATCACACCATCAAAGTCTCAACCTTCCAAGTCCCACTCGCATCAAGTCAGTGTCACAGTCCTGTCATTTCCATCCATCTGTCCATCCATCCATCTGTCCATCCCCATCATGTCATGACCCCTTTTTCACCATGAGAGAAAAAAAAAAAAAAAAGTTCGAGTTCTGAAACCTAGTAGAATACAAGCTAGCTACATAGCCGCTGATCCCCCGCATCTGTCTCGTCTCGGTATTTCGCGGGTTGTTTTGTGTGTTTTGATACCGGTTTGTTGCAGTACTACCCCTCCGAGTAAGACACATATGCCAAACCAAACCCCATCCATCCATCTTGAATGCCGCGATCAATGGAACTTGAAAAATATGAAAAAGTTACAAATGGGGAGGGAAGGGGGAGGCAAAAACAGAGTTTGTCCAGTTTGTCCAATTAGACAGACTTAAACCTCTACTCATCTTGAATCCCGTCATCGATAAGAACACACACATCAACTTGAATTGTTTGTTAAAGCGCCGGGACAAGTTGGCTAGAAGGTCTCGGACTAACAAACAACGAACAAACCTGTAATTGAATTATAGTGTACATGTAGCGCACAGTAGCAGTCGACCATGAACCGTGAGGGATCAATGACTCGTGAGATTTGTAAAGTTGATCTTCATCCCCAAGCAAATGACATTGCTTGGCGGTGGAAGTGAGAGACGATGGATGGCTTACATGAATCGTGTTTCACGAGAATTTGCCGCCGCTCAGCATCGGTTTTGGCGATTTTGGAAAGGTGATTAATCACAGGAAAAGATGGACAGCGTCGAGTCTCATATGGGAAAAGGAAGATCAGATTACGATTGAGGTATCACATGAACGAAACGCCGGGTAATGCTTTTTGCTCAAGACAGAAGAAAGTTGATTGGCTTTTAGATGAACCCTTTTGAGAGACCATGTCATTCCCATGACCCAGATGATTTCGCACCCATGCGCATCGAATGAACAGAACCTGTTTCCTCCCAAAAAGTTGTTCAACCCCTAGCAAAGTCCATAACAACTTCCAATTTACTCCGAGCGGAGAGCGGCAATGCGCTCCTGGACACCAGCAGCGCGCTGCTCGCGGGTGAGCTTGGACTTCCTGTACTTGAGGGACTCGGCCTTCCACTCCTCCTTGGTCTTCTTGGGAGCCTCGGACTCGGCCTTCTTGAAGGGGTCCTCGCGGATGGCGGCGTGAGCCTCGGCGTAGAGGTCCTCAAGGCCGTCAGCCTCAAGATCGTCCTCAATGTAGCGGTTGAACTGGGACTTGTAGCGCTCCTCATCATCGTCGGCGAGGGTCTCCATGTACTCAGCGACGTGACCGCCGAAGATGTACTTCTTGAGGGTCTCGGCATCGAGCTCCTCGGACTCCATGTCGTAACCGGGGAAACGGTTCTCGGAGTGGGGGATGAAGATACCGCCGTCGGAGGCACCCTTCATGGCACCGAAGACACGGGCACCGGTGGAGGTGCGGGCAAGACCGACATCAAGGAAGGCCTTGAAGGGGCGGCGCTCGCCATCGTCAGTCTCGGCGGCCTCGGTGAGCTTGTACTCACCGTCAGCCTCCTCAACACCCTTGAAGGTCTCGTCGAGGCCGAGCTTCTTGAGGACACGGCGGGCGAGGAGGAGACCGGTGGCGTAGGCAGCAGCCCAGTTGGTGAGACCGTGCTCAATGCCGTAGGCCTTGAGCTCGTGGGAGTAGGCGGAGGCGAAGACCTTGTCGCCGGTGATCTCGGAGCTCACAATCTGGAGGATGATGTCGCGGTTGGTGAAGCGGACAACCAGGCGGTACTTGGGAGCATTGTACTTGTTCTTGGCCTGGGTGATGAGGCGCTTGCGGGCATAGTAGTCGGTCTTGCCCTCTCTTCTGCGCTTGTACTTGGTCTGGAAGCGACTGTTGGGCGGATTGAATGTTAGCGGACCCCGAGTCCCTATTGATTTTTCTCGGATTTTCAAAAAGAGGACATCTGCTTACCTGTAGTACGCGCTGTTCTTGACAAGCTTGTGGAAGGCCTGACAATCAAAATCCCCGAGTCAGCAATTATCGCTTCAGAATATTTCCTCCTCTCCGAAGCATCTTGCGTTGACTCTCTTTCTCCTCAATTCCCCCCGAATTTTCCCTCTGGAGTGGTGTGTGATTTGAACGTAGCCGCTGGCCGCTCATTGCTGAACGGCCGCGACGCACGCCGTAGGTCGTCAACTTACCATTTTGACTACTTTTGCTGGGTGCACTCAACAAACGGTCTTGAGACGGGCTGGGTTGTCAGAAGGGAAATTTCGAGATCGCGAACAAACTTTGGTGGGCAGGAATTTCGCACTACAATCCCCACAGCCCTAAGAGCAAGAGCGCGCCTGATTGGTCGGCTGACCGCTGGGTTGTCAACTCAGGTTGGCGACGACCAATTCACCCATGCTTCCATTGCCGTGGCGCCACGGTGGGCGACGAGCGCCAAGAGTACCTACCATGCAAGCGGCAGGCAATTGTGGGCTCTGCCAGTGGCATTGTTAGTCTCGGGCTTCAGTAGCCGTCGACCTCTGGCAATCACTGTCCCGAACCGAGGTCTATGGTACCATTCACTTCACTAATCACTTCCTGGTGCCAATGTGCGGAGATCCAATGTTGTTGATAGATGAATCCAAACCTCCTTATACCCCCAAAGTCCCATGACATTATAGTGTGATGCTTCCTGAAGAGTTTCCCCCTGAATACATTCTAGAAGCCATCGACAGCATGGCGCCAACCGTCCTCAAAGGGAAGAGGTCCTCCGGGTCTCCCAAGCCCAAAGTCATCCTCTTTGACATTGGCGGCGTCTGTGTAAGTCAACATGACCACATCACCACTTCACTTATATAGACAAATACACCCTACTTTCACTAAACAACACAAACACAACCAACTAACACAAACCCAGGTCATCTCCCCCTTCCAATCCATCCTCAACTACGAACTCCGTCATTCCATTCCCCCCGGCTGGATCAACCACTCCATCTCGCGCTCCGCCCCTTCAGGCTTCTGGCACCGTCTTGAAACCGGTTCCATCCCCATGGACGCTGCCTTCTTCGCCGGCTTCAACCGGGACCTACACAACCAATCCCTCTGGGAATCCTTCTACCGGTCCCACCACCACCACCAACAAGCCAAAAAGCACCACCCCTCATCATCATCATCATCATCATCATCATCATCATCTTCTTCTTCTTCTTCTGGCTCTGATGAACTACTACCGATCCCGCCCATCCCCCAGATCGACGGCGAGTGGTTGTTCCATGACATGATGGAGCACGCACGAGCTCCGGATCCATGGATGTTTCCCGCCCTCCAAAAGCTCAAGGAAGATGGACGGTTCGTCGTGGCGGCGCTGAGTAACACGGTGATCTGGCCGGAGGGGCACAAGTGGGCGGAGAAGGACTTCTTCAGCGATCCGTTGCGACGGCTATTTGATGTTTTCATTTCGTCGGCGCATGTCGGGTTAAGGAAGCCGGATCCGAGGATCTATCAGTTGGCGCTGGAAAAGGTGAATGAGTTTGCAAGGGCAAATGCTGACTCCGAAAGGGGAAAGAGGGGCGGTTGGGGAGAAGGGGTGAGGCCGGGTGATATTGTGTTTCTGGATGATATTGGGGAGAATCTGAAGGCGGCGAGGAAGGCTGGGTTTAGGACTATCAAGGTTGGGTTGGGAAAGGCGTTTGAGGCGGTTGATGAGCTGGAGAACGTGACGGGGTTGAAGCTGGCTGGGGATCACCCGAGGATTGCGGTGAAGCCGGACTTTAGTGCTGCGAAGGAGGCGAAGGCGAAGTTGTGATAATGTTGATGATTTACATGGGGTGTTAGGTGTATGAGTTTGGATGATTAGATGAACAAGAATCTCTGGCTATTTTCTTAATTCGTGTGTGAAGTCCTGAACACTATGATCACTGCAAAGAACGTGTTAGACCGTTGTTAGGGCCATCAATAAGTTCCTTGGTTCAGTCCAGACACGGTCCTGACATTCTCACTAGAGATAGGTACCTCCTGGCACTTCGTATGTACGGAAACCATGCCTTTTCAAGATGAAATTTGTAAGATACATATGTATATTTACTACTTATCCAACGAGTCCACATCGACCTTTGTCGCGCATCTCATCACCACAACCTCCAAGATCCACAAATGCCCAAAACGATGTAGAGCGACCAGCTCAAAGTGGTCAAGTGATATATAACTTGTACTTGTCTAACGTAGTTCATACACCATCTTGAGATTCATTTTTCATACACATAGCCCCTTTTAATTTATTCTCTTCGATTCCTCATTTTTAGACTGCCGTCTCTCCTTTTCAAGTTTTGTTTTATGTTGTCTAAGTAGGTATCATCCATTCACCTCTCAGCCCACCAACTTCACCCCAGCCAAGACCAAGACCAAGATTCTGTCCTCCTCATTCCATCAAACCATCCATCATCTCATCCCTTTACCCTCCTTAACAAAATGCCCTGAACTTTCCCCAGATCTCCCGTAGCTGTGATCACGTTTCCCCTTTCAAGCTTTGAGTTATGCTATCACTCTTTCTTCCAAAATCATCTTCCAAGCCACTGTGGTAACCGCTAGATGTTTGTTGGTATTCATTCGCTATTATATAGAAGAGAAGCCTCATGTCTCCACATCTTATCTAGCATTCCAATCAGGCATCCGGAGTGCGGATGAGGTCGACCATCTATGTGAGAGTTCCAGATATCGGTGAGGTATGGTGCATAGAGGGTTGATGAATTCATGATTTAATGGTGCAGTCAGTCAAATTGAAGTGGTCGACAGGCAATGCTGGATGATATGATAGTATGAGAAAAGCTTCGTCTCATCTTAACTCATCACCTCGTCAAGACGGCCCAGAGTGTACCCGGTCTGCTTTCTTGTACCGCCCACCCAGCTGTCTCAGGCGGTCGTATCCTCATGACTGGCAGTCATGAAGATGGTGGACAGGGATCCAGGTTCATGTCCCGAATGCCCTTGGCTCCAGGCAATGTTCAACCCTGCCTAACCGTTGAAGCAATGTCCTTGAAGCATCGGCGCCCATACGCCGACTCAAATGTGGCCTGTCGTGCCACCGTCGCTCTTCTCTCTTGGTTTTCGCTGTAGTTGTAACGTTTCTTGAACATCGTCATCTTCATAACGCGTCCGTTCCCATTTGCTTTTGTACGCCGAGATGTTGGTATCTCCCAAAGCGCCACATGGTTGGAGAGATCGCTGAGCCGATTTAAGTATGGCTACGCAACCCCTCCACAAACTCTATTCCGTAAAACCCCTCAGATACGCTGGTAGAACAACAGGTAAGCGACCTTGTTGTCCTTGAAGCTATCATTATGTTGCTTGGCGGCAGCCTTCAAGCTGCCACTGCCGCTAGGAGCAGCAAGACCGGCCCCGTTGACGACGCTGCTCCACTTCTTGCCGCTCGCAGTAGCCTGCTTCCAGCCCTCGTCATCACCAGTATCATCATCGTTCATGGCGCCGAACCGGTTGCTAGCTGCTGCCGAGCTGCCGTTCTCCCTGCGGTCACCAACGGCGCCCTTGGAGGGCTTCTCCTCTGCGCCAGCCTCAGCGACGTCCTCAGGGCGCACACGGCGAATGACAGTATCATCAATGCGAACCCATTCACGGCCGTCCTGGCGACGAACATCAACTGTATAATGTCCGCCGCTGGCATTCTTTCCGTGATGATAGACAACCGTGATGAGACGATACTTGAGAAGATCGGCATTCTCAGCATGAGTAGTGTTGCGCTTCTGCCGAGAGACAACCTCGCGGGGGATTTCGAGCTCCAAGGGATATCCGACCTTCTTCCAAATCTTGATGGTACCATGGCCTTCAGCATCGAACTGGAAGCGTTTTAGGTGCAAAATGAGGACGGGAGGCAGAGACTCGATAAACACCTGCTTGGTAGCCTTTGCGTCCTTGCCATGGGGCGAATTGAAATCTCCGTGAATCGTCTCTGGGCGAGTAAGACCCCTCAAAGCATCAACAATGTTACGAACCTCGGGAGCACCAATATCGAGCTGAAGGGGCTGATAGGGCTCTAGGGTAACGGAGCTTTTGAGGCCAGGAATGCGGAGTTCAGAGCGGAGTTGACCACCGAAGATCCTAGTAATGGGAGAGATCGAAGAGGAATAACCAGAAGTACGAGTAATTGCAGCCTTTTGACGGGGTCCAACCTCAAGCCAGTCATCACCAGTGTTGGACGCCGTAGGCGAGGGCAAGGACGAGTTGGGCGCAGTTGAAGTAGTCGAAACCGGGAGAGTACTCATGACATGAGTGCACTCATCGTGGAGACCTTCAAGGAGGAAACCGAGGAACTCCTCGGCATCTTGTTGATGACCACGGCGCATGCTTGCGAAACGAGGGAGCTTTCTGATAGCGTCATAGACAAACTCGGGAGTGAAGGCTTCACCGTACTGCTCGAGTTCCTCGCTCTTGAGGCGCCTCTTGAGCTGGTCAATAGATACAGCAGAATCGATTACCTTGAACTCGCGCATGAACATGATCATGGCATCGAGGAGAGGAGTCTCGCTGTTGAAGCTGTGGACAGCCTTCTTGCTGACTTGATCCAAGAAGTCATAGAAAGGAATGCAGTTAACCAAAACTTGAAGAATCTGGTGAAAGTATTAGTATTGCACGTTTCAAGCCCACAGGGTTGGAGCCACTTACAGAGTTCATATAGCACATGTTACCAGTGTTAACAAGGCCGCGGGGCTCCAAGAAAACAATCTTCTCAGCGGTCCCGACCCGGTAGGACTGAATGGCCTCGGCCATGGAGGTCGCCTTAGACTGAGCAAAGCCAGTGGCAACCCCAGTAGCGGCTCCTGAAGCATCCGCGACGGTGTTGCCGTTGACAGTGGTCTGGGAAGCAGACGCAGCAGCGGCAGCAACGGCAGCGGCGTTGACAGGAGCGGCAGGCTTGGTGAACAAGTTGGCCCAAGACTTAGGCTTAACAGGTGCGGGCGCGGGAGCAGCTTGCGCAGCCGGAGCCGAAGACTCGGGCGCCGAAGCAGTTGAATCCTTGGCAGTAGTTTCGGAAGTTTCCTCAGCAGCAGGGGTAGAACCAGCAGGCTTGGTCTCAGTAGACGGCTTCTCCTCGCTAGTAGCGGGCTTGTCCTTGGGAGCAGGCTTCGGCAAAACAGGCACCACAGGGACGGCAGGGACAGCGGGAACGGGGACACGAGTAGCTTGCTTCGCGGGCTGAGCCGGAGAGGCCGTGATTGACTCGGAAACCTGGAGCTGCTGGGATGGGATGGAGCCAGTCGGCGAAGTCGACGGGGTGTCCACAGAAGGAAGCTCTTGAGTCGAAGGAGTTTCAGACCGGGGAGGAAGAATCTCAAGCTTAGGCGTGCCCTTGGGCGTAGAGACAGCCGCATCTTCCTGGACATTTTCCGTGGGAGCACTTTCTACTGGAGCAGCTTCATGTTGTTGGCCAGGAGCAGTAGGAAGGCTGACACTTTCCGAGGCAGCAGAAGGAGCTTGCCGGCGTCTCCTAAGCTTTGTGCGAGCCGGGAACGGGGTATCAGGATGCGAAAACCAAGGGAGAGAGAACGGCGGTTTGTCAGACTTTTGCGGCGAAGCGAAGTGCGAGTATACGGCCTCAGCCTGCGCGGGCTGTATGGCCTCCTCAGCCACCGGCTCCTCCACCACCACCTTTTGCTGAATCTCGGGCTCGGGCTCAGGCTGAACCTGAACTTGAGGCTGCGACTGAATCTGTGCCTGGGGAGGGACGATCGGTGGCATCTGCTGAGCCGGCGGAGTCATAGGGGTCGGGACGACGTGAGAGTGTGTCGACGAGGGAGTGTGGGGAGCAGGAACCGGTACGAGCGCTGGCGGAGGCATGGGGGGAGCCTGGTACGGGGTCGAGACGATGGGAGACTGGGGAGGAGCCGGTCGAGCGTAGGGATTCTGAGCTACCATGGGCATGTAGTGCTGCATGGCCGGGGGCGATCGAGCGTAGGTGGCGGCTGGCGGTGCGTATTGCGGCATACCGTAGGGGTTCATGGTGGCGGCGTTCTGGTAGGCAGGGGGGGCATAGTAGCCAGGGGGAACACCGTAAGGCTGTGGCATGTAGTTGGCGGCATACATGGGTTGGTGCGCGACATGAGGCTGGTGATACTGCCCATGGTGGTGGTGGTGGTGGTGAGCACCAGGATTGTAGTGGTTGTGGTGAGGCCGTCCGCGACGGGGACCGTGGCCCTGACCGAGATGGCCCTGGCCACCGGGGCCTCCATTCATCCTGGGGATTCCCATATCGGCATTACCCTGCATTGGCTGCCCAGCCGGCAGATGCCCGGTGCTGTTCATCATGCCGGCTTGGGAGATGTGGCGGCGCGGTAGCTGCTCACCGGCGTGAGGCCACCGCAGCGAGTCGGAATGTGCTGGCGCCCAATGAGGCGGGTTGCGAGAGGCCGAATCAGCTTCGGACGCGGGGTTGCGGGGGGAGGAGAGAGCTTGGGTTGCCGCCGGTCGTGGTGGCCGGATTCGGATGACGCCGAAAGCTGGGCTGGAACCGACTGTGACTCGGGGCTGCGAATATCGGGGTCCCGGGGGGTTGGGTGTGGGACTCGAGGAGACGCCTTGAGGATTTTGGTCCTCTGCGGGCGTCCACTTCTTTGCTGGCAAAACGAGGCGTCGTCAAAGGTGCCGCCTGCTATGTCCAGTCCTGCTTGCACACGCTGCAAACCGACGGGAGGTGTCGAGGATCTGGTTGGTGACGGCGCGGCGTTGACGAGGTCCCGGCCGGTACAAGATATGTTTTTTTGGAGGGGAAGGTTAGGCAAGGCAAGGCCAAGGTAG